TAGATAAAATTGTGATAGGTAAATAAGCCGTAGTGTTGATATTAGCATAATAAAGCATATTCCCCTGCATATTCTCCTACAACTGACAGTGGCTTCAAAGCCACCTTATCTTTTATGGACATTGTACTGTGTATGTGCTTTACACAGCGAGAAGCACTTCTTTTATTCATTGGAACCATGGCTAGGGCTAAAAGTAAGCAGGCTATAACAATAAATAGAGAAAAAGAAATTGGAATGACTTATGCAGCAAGTAGTGCCACCAAACAGTAGCAGCAGGTTGGTGTGGCGATCCTGGAAATTTGAAATTATGCTAGCCAAAATTAGTGCCGAATAACTGATGGAACCGAATAACTGATTGCCTGATTTGTGATGGCTGACCTGTAGTACAGTATATTAATTAGTGTGAATGAGGGTGAAAGTTTTTTTTTTTTTTTTTTGTTACCCAACCTTGATGGGAGACAACCAGTGTGTTAAAAAAAAATTATGATTAGGAATTTTGGTGGTGTAGCCTAAACAGTCAATTGCAAATTGTGAATATTGGTTTTAGGATCTCAAAATGGTAATGGTTTGTGTATTTCAAGGAAGCTGTATAATGAAGAAACAAATAAGATGCATGAATAGATAACAGTAAGTCAATTAGGGCAGCTTCCATTAACACAGTGCTAAGAACTAGAAATAGAGCTAGAGCTAGCTGGAAACAATAATGTGGTCATATGTTGGTTTGCAAATAACAAAGGTACTGCCCAATAAACAAATAACATTCAGACAAATCTGAAAGCTGGGATATTGTTAATTTACTTGCAAATCACTGCATCTGGATAATTCTGCACTGTCTGATTAACCCATTTAAATCACAATTCACAAGCATTTTTGTGGATAAGATATGAAGGGGTATCTCCTACCTTGGAAGGAGATAGCCTTTGAGTTAAATTTTGTTTTAAAAAAAGCTCACATTATGCCTAGATAATGCCAGTGTTAAAACTTTTGTTATCCCACAGAATGTCTTGAAGTAGGAAAGCCACACCAGCATGCAGTGATTACAACTAATGGTCTTCATAGGAATATATTTTTAAATACAGTTTCTAATGTTTAGCAGTGGGCTTACCACCCTACATCTCTCAAAGTAAGATTGCCATGAAAGGAGGAAGAGTAATCCATCCAAAGTTTTCCCACTGTTCTTCATCACTCAGCCAAGAAACCTGTATCAAGTGAAAAGTCTTGCCTGTTTACATCTGTGATGGATTTCAGAAACTTTAGTGTTCCTTCATCTACACCTTTGTTCCTCTGATTCCCATCTGCCTGTTCCTCCATTTCTTCCTCCTTCCATCCATCCATCCCAGGGATGGCACCAGAATTTCTGTACTGGGGATATTACTGGTGGCTATCAGATTGGAAGGGTAATGGGGGAAGGGTAGGAGACCTTGTTTTGAAGCAATGTTGTTATTACTACATATTTTTATTTGGGTGCTGAGGGAATCTTTTGGGGGGCATCCCTCCATCTGTCCCACTCCCTCACTCAAGAATATATGGCTGATACTTTGTTTACATGTGATAAATTTACTGACTAATTCTACAAACATTTTTGTAAAGAGGTGACAGCATTAAAAAAATGTGTAGTGGAATCTAATGAGATTAAGGATTTGTATTCCTTTAGTGCAGTAAATCCAGAGCTCAATTCTGGCTAACCAGAATTCCAATTCAAATCAAAATAATAAAAAAACTTAGTCTTTACTTTGCTTTAGCATACTCACACATGCCTGCTAAATGCTCAAACCCCTACTTCTACAAACCTCCACACCATCTCCATCCTTTCCTGGAATATCCCCTACTCTATCTGTCCACTCCACATCATACACACTGGTCAACCTGCCTTGCTCCATCTTCACCAAATTGCCAAACTATCTTGACAAATCCCCTTCTGCTCACTAAACTGTACTTTTTTATACAACCACACCTGATTTCATCACTACTCCTCAGCATGGAATTCACACCACACACATTGTACTCAGTATACAAAAGCTCCTGCCTCTAGTCTTCTTGCTTCTTTTTTGGATCACCCCTGCCTCGGTGGGAGACAACCATCGTGTTAAAGAAAAAAATCTCGTAATTGCTTCAAAAATTCTAAAGACCCCTGCAAACTTAGTGACAAATCTTTACAATGTTACAGTACAGTACTAAATATGAAACTGAATAACACAGTGAGATGTATGATGACCACAAGATACACCATAAATTCTCCTCTACTATCCTTTTCTTAAGTACAGGAGAAATAACAAATTGAGTATAATATATTGAGAAACTAATAGATTAATTAATTAGGAAATGGTAGTAAATATAATTGCACTATATATATTGATTTAAAAATTGGAAACTTGAACCTGTTTAACGAAGAATGGAGATGTAGTTTTATGTTATTGTTGAAAACCCAAACAAGGAAGACGGCCTCAGGCTAACGAAAGGGTACAGGAACTCTTGAAAAAAGTCAAGATACTTAGGAGATCATTGACGGGTGAAACTATAACATGCAGACTTAAATCTTTTTTCCACAGAATTAAATCCGTGTATAAACTTACAACATGGTTTTTTTTTGTTGTAATTGGATTGCTTGCCTGCTTCCCGAAACTTTGTTTTTCCTAGTTTGAAAAGACCCACCCGGGGGATTTGATGGCCCCTAATTAACCCAGCTTTCCTTCGGAAAAGATATGATTGAATATGGAAAATGTGTTTTTTTTCTTTGGCCACCCTGCCTGGGCTG